TCCTGCCGCCAAATGAGAAAATGCGCTTGAACCTTGAGTTAAGGTACAACTAATATTTTATGATTGATTTTAGTACTATTTGATATACTGAACCATAATATGAGGGGTGCAAGAGTGGCACTTTTGGGCAACTTGAAATATTCAAGGTCAATGTTCACGGGGTCCAAAAAACAGAACTCACCCATTTTGTTACGAATGAAAGGGAGTCGGTTAACCAAAATGAAATATTTGTAGTTCAAGAAATTTTTAATATAATAATAACTAGCGGCCCGCTCCGGCTTCGCACGGGTATAAAATATATAGCCTATGTCACTCACTGAAAAAATGACTAAAATCGATCCAGTAGTTTTGATTTATTCATTACTGCCCGTGGCCCGCACGCGTTAAATTTGGAGTAAAACAATTCCCCTTTTCCTATACCATGAAGATTTCCTGCTTTGGAATATCTAAATTCATACACTACATTTTTACTTATTTACTTTTTAAATTTTTACCTATTTATTTTATTTTTACAACAATTAATATATTACAGAATGTCTTTATATACAACGTTCACAGCTTTCTTGTCAAACCTCAAAAATAACAGTATTTCTCCACTATTTAATGGATGTTATTAAGGCCGAAACCCACTAGCAACACGCCACGCCACCCCACGCCATGTGACACAGGTTCACGTGGGACAGTTCGTGTGCAAATGGACGGATGGCGTGGCGTGCCATGGCGTGGTATCGCGTATGGCAAGTGTGTACGCAGCACATATAAATAAATGGAAGCATATACGCATACATTTTTGTCACATGGCGTGGCGTGGCGAAGCATGACGTGGCGTGTTGCTAGTTTCGGCCTTTATACATATAAACCTTCCTCTTCAATCACTCTATCTATTAAAAAAAAAACATCAAAATCCGTTGCGTAGTTTTAAAGATTTAAGCATACATAGGGATATAGGGACATAGGGACAGAGAAAGCGACTTTGTTTTATACTATGTAGTGATAATGAAGGAAAAAAAAGCAATAGATGGATAGAAAGTATCTAGTTTCATTTGAAATTAATTACAGAATATTTACAGAATGCATATCAGCAGTGAAATCACGAAACTCGACTCGATATAATCGAGTTTACTCGCTATCTTGTCTATAATTTTATTTATGCACTTCAGGGATTAAAAGTACCCTTTTAATCCCTGTTTTAAGGGAGTAATGTGGGTCTTTTAATCCCCGGGATTAAATTTCACTTTATTTCTCAAGGGATTGAATTTTTATTTTATTTCCCGGGGATTAAATTTTACTTTATTTCCCGGGGATTAAAAAAACCCCTTTATTCCCTGTTTTATTTAATCCCCGGGAAATAAAGTAAATTGCATAAATTTAGTCCCTAGGTGTATAATGTACTATTACGAACCCCGATCGAGTAGAGAATCGAGTTTCTCGATTATGCCTAACTTCGGTTTGGTTTGGAAAGTTTGGCTAGCAACCACAGTACAACCGACACAAACGTCAATCTTGGCCTTTTTGTTTGCTAGCAAATTTGAAATTCGAATTCCTACCCAAATAACAACCTGCATTCCCATGATAAGTGTTGAAGTGTATACTCAATTATTATGACTGGGTCCTGGAGGATAATCTTTTTTGCAAATACAACCCGGAAATCCTTATTTTTTCAAAAATTGAGCTTTTAAATGATCTCTTTCCTCTCCAATTATGGGAAACACGACTTTTTGAGGCACTAGATATTCATTTAGAATATTCATGATGAGATGCACATACTTTGTGAACAGTGCTTTGAGCATACTAAAGTTGTATTCTTCCCCTAAACATCTTTGATATGCCCCTGTTCCATAAAATCGCAAACTACATAATACCATATCTTCAAGAGTTATTCCTCTAGTCAGTTGTCTTTCCTGGCCTTACAAATTCAAACTCAATTAAGTTCCTTGCCAAGTTCTTAGATAACCTAAATAGTTCAATGGAACTTCTTTCAGGCAGTTCAAATGGTTGTTGATTTTTTCTGAGTCCTCCACGTCTACGAAGCAACATGAAACTTTCCTGCCTTCTTTGCATATAATGCAAGAAGCGTCAGAAGCGATCTGCAATAACCTAATTATAATGAACTCGACTCCTCCAACGCAATCGAGGGATTTTCGTAGAGTCGTGTCTATTAATCAAAGCTCGTGATAAAAATTTATCGAATATCGACCAAACTCGAACAACGTAAGTCGTCAATCGAGTCTCGTGATCCCCCAGCAGATAACAAAATATTCAGAGTCAGAACCATAGAAAAGTGATTTATATTCTTGATATAGAACGCTCACTTCTGTTGTAGTCGCCCAGTGACATTTCCGACGGTGCTGCCATAGCGGTGTAGTCATTGAACTAATATTTGGCGGGCCGTTTGAATCTCGGTTTCAAATGACTGGTTTGACATTTCAATTATTTCAAAATAAAACAGTGCTCCAAAACTTTATAAACTAAAATTTTATACATTTTATTTTCAAATATTTGTGAGAATCACTTAATGAATAAAATAGTCTATAATCTAGATGATTTGGCGTATCTGACTCATAAGCTAACTGAAAAACTTTCCAATTTGCTTTTTGAAAATGTCCATTTTTCCATTTGAATGACTGTCATATTTGATCAAGTAATTTATAATTCCCTCGAGCATGTATTATGGAGCATCATACAGTGGCACTAGGTTGTTTATCTCCAACAAAACCAAAATTTCTGTTTCTGTGTTGTTTTTGATGTAGATTTCCCTGGTCTGTGGCTGCAATTCGCTTTTGACCGATTTATTTTTTGCCGCCTGGTCACACATTGTGGCAACAACTCTTAAACCGGCTGCTTGTGATGCACTTATTAATTCTTTCACAGTCTTGGAATTCAAAACAATCAATGACGATGTACTCAACAAATTGATTCAGATGACATATGCATTATATTATGATGTCAAATTGACCTGCGTTTTTATGACTGGTTTTTATATCCACCATTCTATGTCGGTCATTGTCATTTCCTATCCAGTAAATAAAGATAGCTAACTCATCGGTGAAGTGACAGATTAGAATTAAAACGAGGGGGACGTTGAGAAACGGCGATATGGGCGCACAGCGGTGTAGTCATGAACTAAAACAAAAAGCGGAGGGGATGAATCCAGTGAATGTTCTATTTAAGAATTTATAAATCACTTTTCTATGGTCAGAACTAGACATTTCACTGTCACTGCCATCAAGCTGGTACATTTACTTTCGTGTTTCCAATATGGCCACTATGTATATTAACAATACCATCAGGGTGGTCTTCAATGACCAAAGGGTTTAAACATACTTCAAATTTTCTTCTTATTTTTTGCCTATCCTCCTCATCAGATTTAATTCTTGCTGCACTTTCTTCTCTGTGAATTCTTCACCAGCTATCATATCTTGTACATCTTTGAATAGCTGACCACGAACATACAATGATAGGGCCCACTTCTTCACCGTATTTGGTTTCAACGTTATTCCTTTTATTCCACCACGACTTTTACTAAAGCGCATAAATGTTGTTTCAATTAGCATGTCGTTCCATATGCCATTCCATATCCCGGAATTGTGACGGGTTACATGCTCACCGCTCAGAAACTTTTTACGAAGAACGGGATTCAGGTGTTCCATTCTTCGTAGATAATATGATGCATAGCGAGCGTAGTTCCAATGCCCTGAAGCAAAAAAATAAAGTATTATTGCTTCAAGTGACCACAAATGCAAAGGCCAGTTTCCTTCGCGTTCGGCTCGTATAAACATTACCATGATAAACAGTGGCTTTATTAGACAGTTTATCCAATGCTTTGCTGTTCTACTCGTACTCGCTATATTATATATAAGTCACTAATGTCTTCGTTAGAGAACAAAGGTGAAAGTAGTTCTTCCACAGTCATGCGTAATGCTCGAATATTGTGTAAAAACTTTTTTCCAGTCAACATAGCTCTAACACCAGCAAACGCACCTTGCAGCACATCTTCTAGGCCAGAACATGACATTAATGTCCCAACGCAGCCAACAAATGACATAAGGGTGTGCATTCCTCCTAATCGTACATGGGAGTTTTTAAATTTTTCTGGATGAACCCATAACACTTCCACAGCTAAGCGATAAAGTTGTTGATCTGCCGTAAGCACTGTGAATTCCTGCTCCATAGATTGTGTCAACCTTTGCGCTTCATATGTAGCGGTGGTTGTGGTTTCATGATCAGCGGGCTTCATATATAAGTGGGTGAGTGGTGAGTAAACTGTGTTAGTTCTTGAAGAGATATCCGTATGTGATTCTCGAGCACACTTCGTCATGAAGCCACCATATTCCGGTGTGTTCCTAGGATCTTCTGACATTTGTTTAAAAAAATTGAAATCACTAGCTTTAGCTGCTTCAAGTGACACAACTGTTCGTGCCAAACCTGATAGTGGCTGAACAAACCTTTCAGCTGCAGCGTCGGGCAATGGTGGTTTATAAGTACCATGGTAATACTGGATTTGTACGTCAGGTAGTTTGAGACCAATAGTTTCGACCTTTTCAACCTTTTAATGGCAACAGCAAATTCCACATTATCACTATCCTTGCTGAGGAGATCTGTATATCAAAATTGTCTACAACCGTTTGAATCAGACAATCGGGCTTCAAGCTATTTACTCGCTGTAGTTCCAAGTTTGTTGATTGCATGTTACGGCAAACTGTAGTTGCTACTGAGGATTTGTAGCTCATTACTTCGTCATAGCTACAACAAATTCCAAAACCATACAGCAAATCAATAAATTGTCTTGATGAATGAGCCTGATGAAGTATTTCACCAAGAGACACTTTTAGAGGGATATACGGTACAATTCCAGTTACAATGTTTCCAATAAGACATGGAGCCAGATCATCTTTCGGCATTAGGTGCATCAGTGCATCAATGTTTTACTTGTCGCTTTCATCGCATCCTCAGTGCGAATGCGTGTAGTGTTCGGTTGTCCAACAGAAACAGCATTAATCTCAGATTAAATCAGAAGCAATTTTGAACATGTTGAAGTCATCATCCTCAGAATTTTCGAAATTAAGAAGGTGTGCTGCTTCTTTACGGAAGCGAATGATACTAGCTATTCCTGATGAACTGAGAACCATAAGATCATTACCAAAATAGTCTAAAAGATCTGAAATTAAAGTTCTACGGCTTCTTATACCACCATTACTTATGTAGGTAGCATACAGTTCTACAGAATTCCACCTATGATTACGATTACTGTTCATAGTTGACATTTCGAGCGGCCATGAATTTTGTATAGCATGAGAGTTGGTACCGTCCACCAGCTGCATGCAGATCACTCGTTGCTCCCATAACACGTACGCGAACTTCATCTTCCTGTTCGTCACCGCGATTTTGACAAACTTGAATAAGTTTTTTTTTTTTTTTCTAATAAGTTACCATTTTTTTTTTATCCAATGTTTTCTCTGAAAGTCTTGCACCGTTGTGGGTGTTTAGGGTCCGGTGGCAGACATTCCTGCCCACAAAAGAAACAGTGCACAAGAAACTGGAAGCGCGCATAAGATCGTCTGGTACGCTTGGGTTCACTGCCGCTAGTTGCTTCAAACTGTTGTTCAACTTTTTTCTCTACTGCACGTTGGATATGTTGCTTGGATGTATAACTGCTTACACAAACCTTGTGAAATTGCAAACTTGTTAAACTCCCATCTTGTAGACCAGCTACAATTTGTGTATGGATGGTGTCACCACGCTCTCTACTGCTCTCAGCAATTTTCTTTAGTCGATCTACTTCACCAGTCACTAGTGGATCAGTTCGATTGCTATTGAAAAAGCAGCGCTTGGTATCTTCAGACATGCTTAACCTACAAAAAAATAAATAACACGGTTTATTCACCTTGTAATAAACTGCCAAGTATGCAATCTGACGGATAAAAACGCAATCTTTAATCCCATTGGTCGGCCAGTTATCCGCCGACCAATATAATTATAGAACGGTGAAGTTATCTTGCAGATAGTTACAAGTTTATCTGAAGATGAGTAAACCGAGCCTAGATAAAATAAAACATAATAAATATTTATAAAATTATAAATTAATATATAATTTTGGTTAGCCGACTCCCTTTCATTCACAAAATGGGTGGTTTCGTTATTTAGATCTCGTGAAATTTGACCTGCGATATTTCAAGTTGCCCAAAAGTGCCACTCTGACACCCCTCATAATATGATTAAGTGTACCAAATGGTACCAGAATGAATCATAAAATTTTAGTTGTACCCTGCTTCAAGGTCACATGGCTCGGCGACCCGGCTAATGGCGGGTATTATAAAACTATTTCGACAGAATTACTAAAAGTTAACTTCTGGAATGACGTTACTTCTCATGTAATTCCAGAAGTTAATTTTTAGTTAACTGCCAAAGTAGTTTTATAATACCCGCCCTTAGTTGGATAAATTGTAATCTGGAAAATCCACATGGTGTTCCGAAGAATACACTCCCAAGGATGTCATTGCTCCCAAGTCTCAACCTCACCTTTCTTATTTGTTGAACGGCTCTTCTGCAAAATCTGGCGAAACCTAGAGATGATCACTCCAAATAAAAAGTTTCTCTCAATCTTAAATAACTTTGCTAGGAGCTCAGAGCTGTCAAGAAATCTCTAGCTTGCTGGTTTAAAAAATGTAGTGAATTTCTTGAGCAGCTTCTAGGGATGGGGGTTTATCTTCCTGTAGAATGGTGCAAACAACGTATGAACTGAACCCCTAACTCATGCATAAAATACAGTTTCCAAATTGAACAAACTAAACCTGAGACTGATCTGTGTATCTGAAAGGCCCATTGCTAGTTAACCCATTGAAAAACATATATCCTTAAAACTAATAATTTTCCTGCATATAGTTATTAAGTAGGTAGGTATAGACTATCCAGAAGAGGAGGGACATTATTCTTGATGGGACGGGATTGGGGACCACCCTGTGTTTACTGAATTCTTAGGGCCGTGAACACAGCTGGTGGTATCTCAGTCTCTTTTCATTACCACATCATCGGAGACTTTTTCGACGTGTATCCTTTTTAGTATATGACTAATATTTAAAAATATATATATTTAAGAGCATATTGTTGTTGTAAAAAGGTTCACTAGTGACATCTATGGATCGACTGGCCAACGAAGCCAAACCTTAAAACGTGCAGCAAACTTTTATGCTTGCGGTTATTTCGGTTTGACTATAATTCATTATGAAATCACCTGTGGTTTTGCCGTTTATAAATATCCGGGAGGCTAGCAGCTGTGCTGAATGTTCTTATTATAATGTAAAAGCTCTCAAATTTTTTTATTAAATTACAGAGCTGTGCAAGAAATCTCTGGCTTAAGTCTTTCACAAAATTTAGTTGTTGATAAGTAGAAACTCTTGTGCAGCTAATAAAATTGATCAAAAAGCAGCATTATGAAAATTTAAACTTGATACAGATAATTGCCATTGCATGTCATCTAAAAATCACAGAAATTACACTATTATTGGCAATAAAAGGTTAGGATTTGCGTCAAAGCATGATCCGACCTTGAACACTTACATAAGTCAGATTGGCCCGATATCCAAATAATTTCTATAATTATAAGAGTATCGTCCGCTGCAAGGTATAAAAGTGCATTTCGGACTCGAACATGTGATTTTGGTTTGGCAGCGCATCCCAATGCAATCGGCCAGGAAACTTGCTCGTTACAATGTTGCCGAAAACAAAGGATTTTTCTTTAAAAAAATCTAGATTTTTCTTGTGTTCTATTTAGGGACACTTGTGGGTCGTATTGTATAGGGTGGCCTAGAGTTGAATCGTCAGAATCGATTTTTCAGGTCAAGACTTATTTCATCTTTAATGTTCCCAGAAAAATGCGCCTAGCTTTAGTCAAAAAATTATAATTTGTGCATGAAATTAAAATTTGTGTGCTTTCGGTTTTTTGGCACTACCTACTCTAGTCCAAAAGTCGGCAATACTAACGGGTATGTGATCGTTGCAATGGATAATTTTCACATAGAAGAATAGCTCATAGTTACCTTTAAACTAAATGGATGGGTGGCCTCGATTCTCATGGCCGTAAAGTTGTTTTATAAAAAGATACTTCAAGAACCATAAGCGCAACAAATAAGAAGTACCTTGCGGTGTAGGGGTTTCTCATCATATGCGGCAAACACTTTATTAACACAATTTCATGTTTCTTTTTTTGTCTAAAGACCTACAGCTGTATGCAAAATCCTCTTCACAGGGTCCTCTTTTAACTTTGTAAGTGACTTTGAAGGCTGTCACTTTCAAAAATTTGTATTTAGCAAGCAAAATATTGCGTGCCCTCGACTTTCAATGAGGGTTGCCATCATTTCCGGCCATCAAAATCGAGGCCACCCTATATATTATTTGAGAAGACATATTAAAGAATATATCTACCAATTTTCAGCTATTGCAACGATAACATTGTTCCTTCGGAAAAAGAGGGGTAGTTTACGCCCAGCCATCAAAGGGTTGCGGCCATGAGAATCGAGGCCACCCATCTATTTAGTTTAAAGATAACTATGAGCCATTCTTTTATGTGAAAATTATCCATTGCATCGATCACATACCCGTTAATATTGCCGGCTCTCCTACTACTCGTTTCTTGCCGCCTCATCTGGGTTATAGATACTTGAAATTCAGAAAATTAAACACCATCGGATCAACTTAGACAAAAAAAAACTATTACAAGAAGGAGAAAAAAAAGGAAATTTCACGCATATACAGGGTGTCCCACGGTGGATGGCGTATTAGACGTTAATGGAAAACTAAAAAGCGGATCATTTTGAAAATTTGGCAACCGGGATAAACGAGCATGATATACACTTTAAAAATATTTTTGTTTATGCGGTGTTGCCGCTTCTACTCTAAACCAGTGTCAACATCGCTATTTTAAATAGAACACCCTATATGTGATTGCATATTTGGATTCTACGTGAAATTCCATGTGATATACCCTATACCGAAGTTTAACTGTTTCGAAAATATTGACAGTTGAAAATTGACTTTTTGCAACTTTGACAGGCTGTGAAACGTAAACGGTTAATTTTAGAGGAAAACCGATTTTACATTCCTGTCTTAGATTTCCATAAACTATCATTTGACACCAACTTTGAATTTAACCAGAGATTAAATTTAATTGAAATTTTTAATCATGGATTAAATCCAAAGTTGGTGTCACATGATAGTTTATAAAAATCTAAGATAGGAATGTAAAATCGGTTTTCCTCTAAAATTAACCGCTTAGGTTATACAGCCTGTCAAAGTTGCAAAAGGTCAATTTTCAACTGTCGATATTTCAAAAACAGTTGAACTTAGGTATAGGGAATATCACATGAAATCTGCTCAGAATTTAACGTAGAATCCAAATATGCAATCACATACAGGGTGTTTCATTTAAAATAGCGATGTTGCCACTGGTTTAGAGTAGAAGCGGCAACACCGCATAAACAAAAATAATTTTAAAGTGTAGATTATGGTCGTTTATCCTGGTTGCCAAAATTTCAAAATGATCCGCTTTTTAGTTCTCCATAAACGTCTAATACGCCATCCACCATGGGACACCCTGTATGTACAATAACTGTTGAAAAAGATGAGTATCGATACATGGCATTTATAACAAAACCCTGAAGCTTTGAAAATTCAAATAAACTGCTCAAAATTACTGAGAACATTTTCAATGGAAAGCTCGCACCTACAAATGATAGACCAAGCAGGCTCGCCGCATTCTGCTGGTGTGATCTACCGTGATGATTATACAGTAGCTTGATGGGCTCCTCATAAAATTTCCAACGAAAACATGACTGTAGAGCGCCTGGAAAATTGGTTGCATCGCCAATGTAATGGGCTTAAACATTCATCCTACTGGACCAATAATTTTGAGACATATTGCCTGAGATAAAAGCAGAAAAATTGAGCGTATTGATTCTACCCAAACTGCCCTTACCACCTGTAGAAGGGAGCTCGATTATATTTTGCACGCGCAAATGCAAATTGGACCAACAACAATGATTGAAGGAAAATTTTATTATTTATAACTGGTGACTGACTGCCTTTCATGCCGCATCAAATTTTTGATGGTCTCGATTTTTGAGAACTTTCATTTTATTAGAGTTATTGCGGTTTCAATTGCTCTGTAATATAATAGGATCTCACATCTTTCCATATTTCCTTTAGAATTATCTTGTTGAGTTCTCGATACTCCGTTGACCATTATATCGGGAAATGTTATCAATTATTTCATAAGTTTGAGTGAGACGTTAGTGTCTCTTGTCTCTTGGAGGAAAAACACTGAAGAAAGAATGGAAAAAGGCCTGAATGCAATATATAACTGCAGCAA